AACGGCATCACTGAGTATAGAACCACATGATGAGATTCACATGATATCCAGGTACTAGATACTCAAAACGTCCATAACCGGGGACACGACTAACCATGATTAGTTTGTACACTCTGCACAGGTTTGCGCACTTTTCCCCACAAGACTCAATCGCCTCCATTTGATTCCTCGCACTACATGGTGTTTGAGAAACGGATGACCGAGACATAGTCTTTCGGAAGCACTAGCACCTTACATGTGGGTAGACCGGTACACCTACTTTCCCCTACATCTGCTAGTCTACCCGTAAGAGTTCCACGACTTAGTCAACTATGCCAGAGCCCATAATGGCTTGTGGCTGCACACGGATGTTTCTAGTTTGAATAATCTCATGATCCCTTTGAGCCTGGGTGGTGGTCCGAAGAAATACAGGCAAGTCCTGATAGAAACCAGGTGCCTCAATCCACTCAGATGTGTGTTTAAGTTGCCACCTTAAATAAACCATTGATTAACAATCTCACATCTGTCATGGATACACTCACCCAATCCACTTCTACTAGCATAGCATGGCATAAAAAGCAAACGTAGAAGTAACTCCCAGGGGTTTGAAAATAAAACAGGTAATAGGTACTACCTCATCTACTTCCCATCCCACAATTTAATTAGATCCTAATCATGCAATTGTTTGAGGATTGGTCTAATGCATAAAAACTGGGTATGAGAAAAGGTATGATCAAAGTGTTACTTGCCTTGTTGATGATCCGCAAAACCTAGAGACTCGAAGTAACAGGCGGCGCACTCTGGGTATTCTATCACAGACAAACAAACAAACAAACATACAATAAGTACTCATCTAATGCACTGGTAAAACTCGAATAAAAGATCCAACCAGATTGTTCAACTTAAGAACTCCGGTTTGCAAAAAGAACCGAATCAAACAAAGCAACGAAAGTCAAACGGCGAAAGAAAACAACTTTGTTTTACTAATCTGGATCTAAGTCAAATTTTACAGAAGCAAAAACTTGTTTAAGTTGATTATTTGGAAAGAAGGTTTCGAGACGAAACTCCAGGCGCTTGAATCGCCTGATTCCGATAAACGAGCGAAAAGTTATACTAAAACGAAAATCGGATCTGGAATCGCGATCAGAAAAATCGCGGATTAAATCCGAGAAAAAGAAAAACGACGAACAGGCTGACGAACGAACGTTCGTTGACTAAACAGATCTGACGAATATGTTCGTTAAAATGAACGAACGAGCGAACGCTCGCTATTTAACCGAACCGAAAAATAAAACAGATCTAAAAAAAATAAACCGAAAAAAAGAAAAAAAATGAAGAAAAACCCGTTCGGTTTTTTTATA